ATTCCTGTGCACAGTGGACACACTGAACTTGGCAATGAGCAGCCTTGGGGTCAGAGACTTGTAGCCATTTAGCTTGAGGTCTGCATCCAAGAGGCTCCCCCAGCCGCACATTTGCCTTCTTAGAAACTGTTCTCCGGAAGCAGAATTAGGACAATGGATAACGGTCACACAGCTGGTTAGAGCACCGAGCCACGGGAGGGACGGAGCTTTGACCTGATTCCAATCGCCGGCAGTTACCTTGTTGGTTGCTAATTTTTACTTTTGGTAGTGCTGAGGGCCTGAACCCAGGGCCTTGTGCATGATGGCAAGTATTTTCCCCAGCCCTTCCTGTTAACTTTTAAGTTGGCACATAATAATTGCACATATTTCTAGGTACAACATGATAATTTGACATTATGTATACAGTATGCGATGGGTAAATAAGGGTAATTAGCATCTGCATGACATTGTGGAGAAATCCTTTGAAGCCCCCTCCCCTTCTAGCTATTTTGAAGTGTACATAGTTGCCTATAGTCAATCTAGCCTGCCGCAAAACATCTGCAGCTAGTCTTCCTGCCTCTCACAACTGTGTCCTTATTAACCACTGTCTCCATCCTCCCACTTTGCCCCCATGATCGTCTTCGGTAACCTTTAGGAAGTGCGTAGAGTTTATTTGAACTTGAATCTTGCTCTCTGTTATAGCCCAGGCTGGACTGTAACTCACTGTGTAGACTAGGTTGGCCTTGAACTCTGGATTCTCTTCTCTCAGCCTCCACAGTGCTGGGATTACAGGCGTGCACCATGACTCCCAGCCTCTGGTAACTTTTACACACAGCTGATTTATGAGCTGTGGCTGCCTTTCTAAAGGAAAAATAATAAGACTTGAATGGAAAACACCAGTACACCCAGCCCCAACTGGAAGTTGGTTCTGGCTCAAACTGAGAGGTGGAAGGCAGTGGGAGAACATAGTCTATTGAGACTGTTGATATCCTTAATTCAGAAGAAGGCACAGTCACCTGCTTCCTTTAACATGAGAAGACCTTTGTTCAGTGTTAACCAATTCTTCACAGACACAGAGGAAACCAGAGGCCTTTAAACAATTATTTTGTGTAAGTTTATTAGAGCAGAATCCTCTGAAATGAACGTAGTCACTTATTCTTATAGCTTATGCTGCATCAAAACTACTAAATCTGAAACCACAGATTTTATGTGCCTTCTCTGGGTCAAAGGCAAAGTTTATTTTAAGACCTAGGTTCAACACTGGTTTTTGACTTATTGGTTGGTTCTCATTATTAGTAATAAAACTATATTGACCTGCCTTGCATGCTGAGAGGAAACTAAAATGTAAATGGGTGGAAAGTCAAAGTGTCATTTCCCCAGCTCAGAATCTTTAAAACTCACTGGAATATTCTGAGCTAAAGTTAGCCACCATCAATTTCACACATGAAAAGGCCGTTGCTTGGGCAAGACCTCTTCACTCACGTTACAAATGGTGTCTGTAGAGTGGAAGGAAACAATGGCAGAGGGGTTAGAATAGGAAGCCCAGTGTGTTTCGTGGCTTCTTCCTGGTTGTTTTAACAAGGAAAGAGAATTCCATGACTCGATTAGAGATAAGCTCTGCCCCTCTGGATTCCTTTCGCACATTTATTGCTTTTTGACTGGGAAACATGATAAAGCAGCTCCCTTCAAGAGAGTGGATGATGCTGCTGGGTGGGAGCGGCGCATGCCTTTAATCCCAGCACTAGGGAGGCAGAGTAGGCTGATCTCTGTGAGTTCGAGGCCAGCCTGTTCTAGAGTGAGTTAGAGGACAGCTAGGGCTACACAGAGAAGCCCTGTCTTAGGGGAAAAATAAGGGTAAGGGAGAGAGAAGAAGAAGAGAGAGAGAGAGAGAGAGAGAGAGAGAGAGAGAGAGAGAGAGAGAGAATATGAAACCAGTCCCTGTGCTGCCTCAAGAAAATGCCAAGGTCCAGTCTGTTCTGTAGGTAGCCCGAAAGGATTGAAAGATATCCTTTTAGAATGCCTGCACACACACACACACACACACACACACACACACACACACACACACCACACACACCTCACACCACACACGCACACTACACTTAAACACACCACCCACGCATTCCACACACCACATACACACACCACAGTTACACACACATCACACACACATACCACGCACACACCACACTTAGACACACGTATCATACACCGCACACACACATCACACTTATACACACACACACACACACACACACACACACCACATACCACACACGCACACTACACTTAAACACACCACCCACGCATACCACATACCACATACACACACCACAGTTACACACACATCACACACACATACCACACACCACATACCACACACACACCACACTTAGACACGCATATCATACACCACACACACACATCACACTTATATACACACACACCACACACAGACACAGACACACACATACACACCACTTAGACACACACCACAGAAAACCGCATGGTAGTCTTTGCTTCAACTTACAAACTCACAATCACCCAGGCTGACAAAAGGGACAGATGTCACTGTTTGTCTCTTAGAACATGACTTCTTATAAGAGTGATGAATTGAGTCATTGGACAGGAAATTGGTCATTGCCTTGGAATTTAGTCATGGACATCTGCTAAGGTGGGGCCTGAAGGACAGTGTCGCACACTGCCTCCTCCTTCCCCTCCTCCCTGTGTGTCATTTCAGTTCCTTCTGATGAACACTCCCCTGTTGGGGTGCCACAGGTGGGCACCAGAAATTAGAAGGCAAAAGGGGATGGATCTGTTTGGCCGATTCTAAAGTCCTCCGGGGTCATCAATACGTTGCATGTAGAGATAAAGAACACAGTTTTGCTGGTCAGAGACACTTGATCCAACTCAGCCTAACCTCAACGAGCTAAGCTGATGGCGTTTGAGACCAGAGTCCCCCTCCATTGCCTCATAGCCAGTTCCCCATCATCTCCGTTCTGCACTCACCAACTGATTTACAACACATGGGTGCCTCAAGAAAGGCCCTGGGGGGGTCCAGAGGGTCTTTACATCTGCACTGGGACAGCTGGAAGTGGCATGTCTAGAAGCCACACCGTGGGAGCTGCAGTGTGTCCCAACACTGTGATTAACATTGAAGTGAGCAGCGCTATAAGTTTTCAAATGCACTTTTGTCTGACTCGCCTCCCCGCCTTGTGGTATCCTAAGCCATTCCCCGCATTCTTGAGTAAGGGAGCAGCGTGGTTGAGCAGCAGGTTCTCTGGCTAGATTGCCCAGGTTTGAAAGCTAACCGTGTCACCTCCTTCTCATGTGTCCTCGGGAGAGCGACCAACTCAACTCGGGGCCTCGTGTTCTCTCCTGGAAATGGATAGACAAATCATGTCCACCCCATGTAAGTCACTGTAGGTTCGACACAAATAAAAACGAGCCAGAGAGATAAGTCAGAGGCTGAAGGGCTTGCTGCCAAGTCTAACAACCTGACTCTGAGTCTCAGACCCACATGGTGAAATAACAACCAGCTCCATCAAGGTGTCCTCTGACCTCCAAACCTTCTGCTGTGGTGCCTCCCCGTGCTAAATAACGATAATAAAAACCTTTTAAAAAGAAAGAGCTAAAATGCTTACCATAGTATTATGCGTGGTGTAAGGGCCCAATAAAGGTTGGGTGTTGCTATTTTGTGGCCAAACAGAGCACAGGTCAAGTGCAGAGTGACAAAGTGGTACAGAGGGCATTGTTTGGATACATAATCTTCATGTGTGGGTGACAGGAATTTTAATCTGGAAACTCACAAATCTACCCTGACACTGATACCAATGCAAGAAAAGTCTGGCTTGGCAAGTGAATCTCCTTGGGTGGGTTTCCACCTTCTTGAGAGAAAGCCTGTGAAAGTTAGGCAACGTGGTACATGCCTTTAATCCCAGCACTCAGGAGGTGGAGGCAGGAGAATCAGGAATTCAAGGTCACCCTGAGCTCCCTGTCAAGTTCAAGGTCAACCTGAGATCTTGGAGAGGGGGTGGGGAATGAAGAGAGAGAATACATATGGGTGGGTGTTCAGGAGTAGAGATGGCCAGACTCAGAAACTGTCAATCATCTGAAAGCAAGCGAAGAGCCTCCTCCCGACACCCACCTTCTTTCCCTGTGAATCTAACGAAGTTACCAATTTAAGGAAAGCAGTATTTCCTTGTGTAGCTGTCTCTCTTTCACTCAGTTTCTGAGCCTCTTTGTAGAACCTGTGAGAACATTCTGGAAGTGAAATTGAACTGTGAAGGAGAGGCTGTTCTTGTCAGCATCCCCCTCTTGGCCTAGATGCCCTAGACAACGGCATAGAGGACTGCGCTCTTCCCCCTGGGTTATCTCCCTCTGGATATCTAAAGATCCTTCCGATCCAGCGTCATCCAATAATTAATATTTACTAATTGTTTCGTGCCCAGCACTGTGAGTCAAGAACTCTGCATTCATTAGGTTTAATGCTCTATAGGGAAGGACTCAGTGGATAAATGCACTCACCACCAGGCTTGATGACCTGAGTTTGATTCCCAGGCTCTACACAGTGGAAGGAGAGAACTGACTCTTTTGAAGGACCCTCTGACCTCTGAGTGTGTACTGTGGTGTGTTCACACTCAAGTACAAACAAATAAATAAAATTATTTTTTTAAAAAAACTTAAGTGGATAGAAGTCATCTTTTAAAAAGAAAACCAGGATGGGGGAAGAAGAGAGAGACTGTATGTGTATGAGGTGAATAGGAATATAACTTCATTGTAGCTACAGACGGACTTATAACTAGGAAGTGATAATTTTAAAAAGAGAGTAATTTGGTCTCTCCAAGAACCAACAACTTTCTGCTATCTTGTTCTGCATAGAAAGTAATGGATGAGCACCACAACAATGCCACTTGGGCTGGGCATCTGCCTACAGTCAGCTACTTGGGGGGTCAAGGCAGCAGGATTCCCCTGAAGTTACCACATGGTTAGTTCAATCATACTTATCATTTTATTTCCAGCTCCTATTTAGAGTTTGAGCTGATGGGATTAGCAACGACTATGCTCCTCACTAGCTGCGTCAGTCCTCTGGGCTTCTCCTAACTAAGTAGCACAACCTGTGTGGCTTGAAGGACAAGACTGTGATGGTTCTGGAGACCAGAGGTCTGATGAGATTAAGACTGTTGGTTCCTGCTGTGGACTGACTTGAGGATGCTGTCTCATGTCCCCTCCGAGCTTCCGGTGATTTGCTGACAATGCCTTGGCTTACGGATCTTCCTCTGACCCCTGCTTTCATGGTCGTAGGGTCTTTCCCCATGCACACGCCTGTCTCTGTGTCCAGTGCTCCCCCATTCATAAGGACACATCAAACTGTGTTTGGGTCTCATCTCTGAACTTGATTGTCAACTTGGCAAGACCGAAAGTCACCTAAAAGATGTACCTTTGGGCATGTCCATGAAGGCATTTTCAGAGGGGTTTAACTGAGGTGAGAAGACCAAGGTGTGTTGCCCAATCTCATGGGCTAGGGTTCTGGACTGAGTAAATGGGAGCACATGAGATGAGCACCAGCATACGCTCTATCTGCTTTGTGACTGCGGACGCCATGTGATCAGCTGCAGGATGTCCCTACCACAGCGGACTGTGTACTCCAACTGGGGGCTAAAATAAAGCCGTCTCCGCTGACATTGCATTGGTCGGGTCACACAGTGAAGCAAGTAACTAATACACTGTGGAGCAGCACTACAACCGCTTTGTGGGAGGCACCATCCAACCCATAACACTGGCGGAAAGAAAGTCAAGGAGAATACTTTGGGGAGCCTCTGGTATTCTTAAGAGTTTGCTGAAAGACAGGAGAATCCTTCTGCCAATAGATATCTCCTCCTCATGAAGACATTGCATTTTCATCCTGACCTTTTGTGTGTCAGTGTGTGTGTGTTTCTGTATCTCTGTGTCTCTGTGTCTTTGTCTGTGGCTGAGTATATATGTGTGTGAGAGTGTATGTGTATATCTATCTATCATCTATCCACCTATCTATCATCTATCTATCTATCATCTATCATCTGCCTATCTATCATCTATCTGTCTATCATCTGTCTATCTACCTATCTATCATCTATCTATCATCTCTATCTGTCAATCTATCATCTGTCTATCTACCTATCATCTATCTATCATCTCCATCTATCTATCTATCTATCTATCTATCTATCTATCTATCTATCATCTATCTACCTATCTATCTATCTATCATCTGTCTATCTATATCTATCTATCTATCATCTGTCTATCTATTTATCATCTCTATCTATCTATCTATCTATCTATCTATCTATCTATCTATCTACCTATCATCCATCTCTACCTCCCTCCCCCACTGCCCACCCCATGTATGTCTTTGTCTATGTGTGGTCTTGCTAATTCTGATCAGTACATCCCACTTAACAAGTCCTTTGCTCACAGGGCAAACCTGGAGATTAACTATGCCAAAGGACTTCAGAAACTGGCAGTCAAGCTGAGCAAAGCACTACAGAACACAAAGAAAAAGTAAGTACCATGACAAAGCTAAGGCAAAAACCCTGTTTTAAAAAACTAAAAGTGAAAAACTCTTGCTCACAGCTTTTCCCCACACACATGGTAGGTACAATCCCCGCAAGCATGGCTTCCAGATCTTGGGGATTTAATCTGGGCCAGGCACTGCCTCAAATGCTTAGTGGATGTTCCTATTTAATCCTCGTAACAACCCTTGAAAGTTCTTATGTTTATCCCTCTCACAGATGAGGACTTGAGTCTGAACAATTGAAATAGACCTCCCCAATGATGCAGTTAATGGGCTGCCCAGCTAGACTCCTCCTGGTGCTTTGTGACTCCTGAGCCCACAGTTGGCTTGGTAATGCTATTTCATCTAGGAAATAGTGTTAAGCCAGAAGGTCTTAGAGGCAAGAAGTGTGAATTCTGTATGATCTCTACTCTGTGATTTTTGACAAGGGTCTCAGTCTCCCTGTGTCTCCATCTCTTCCTGTAACGGGTACAGACACACTCATCTGGGTATTTGAGTCATGTATGTGGGTTGTATCGTGATGTGCGGCCTGAATGATAAATGAAGTAAGCTGTGTGAAGGGCTTACGCATGTGAGGCACAAACACTCAGGATTTCGCAGCAATAAAATGGTCCATTATTGATAACTTGCTAAGGTACTTCTGTACTAATGCATGCAGATGTGGCTCTGAACATGCAGTGTTCTTACTGAAGCTTGTCATGGCGATGAAGAGAAAGGGGAAGGAAGCTTCTAGAACCACGCTTCCCACTCCTGCTTGGGTGCCGTTGTGATGGTGGCAAATCGCTTTGAAATGGCTCTGGTTCTTGCTCCATTTTTCTCTTGAGGGTAATATCTTGGTAGACTACAAAGGGGTCAGCACAGTGGTGTGGTTGGGTTTAGAGCGACCTCCAACTAGACTGCCCAGTTTAAACTCTACTTCTACCACTTACCAGGTGAGCGGCCTGGGACAATTCCTCTTTTGTCCAAATGCCTCTTTACGACAGAAGTGAAGCTCAATGCAGTAGTGCTGAGGTAAACCGGCTGAGGCAGGAGGATTGCCATGAGTTTGAGGTCAGCTTAGGCTACATAGGGAATTTCAGACCAATGTAGCTACACTGTGACACCCTGTCTGAAAGAAACATAAATAATGATAAGTATATTTATATACTAACATAAAAACAGAAACAAAACCCATTCCCTACAGTTACTGAATTAAATGAAATAACGCAAGTGTGCTTAGCAGACCACCTAATGAGGAGGGAAACTCTATGAATGGCCATTTTGATTTTGATTCTAGTAATTCAGTCACCACCTAAATCCCACCATTGCAACCCTAGCATCAAAATAGCAGACATATTCAGAATGGCCAGTGAGCCAGCACTGGTGTGGTGTTTGGTGATAAAAGTTAGTTGAGTTTCTCAATATCAAAATCTGTGTGAGATTCTTGCACATCCCAATGTGTTATTTTATAATTCCAGTTAAATGAGACTCAGAAAAGCCAAGTGAGTCTTCTAGGGTCACAAAGGAAACCAGAGCCAGGGACACCTGCTCTCAGAACTGGGCTGTGGTCTCTCTGAGGCCCACAGGATGCATTTCCCGCCAGGCTGTCCAGAAGCTGTGCAATCGATCACCTGGGAGGTTCTCTCTGGTGAAATGTTCCTCATATCCTTAATAAGCACAATTATATTTGGTCTAATTCACATGAAATAATCAGCACTTATTTGTTGTTGGAGTTAGTGTCTCATGTAGCCCAAGCTGATTGCAGGTTCCTTATGTAACCTCAGATGGCCTGATCCTTCAGCCTCCACCTCCCAGTTGCTGGGATAACAGGGATGAGTCACCTCACCTAGCAACACTTCTTTTAAGTGTAGGGTTTGGTCCAGTTTAACAGATGTGTACTCTACGTAACTAACCATCCACCAAAGTCAGACATTTTCAACACACACCAAGTTGCTACTTCCTGTTTGCATCCCTGCCCTCACCAGTGCCAAACAACCACTGACACCCTTCATGTGAAGGTAGTTTTATCTTTCCTGTGGTTTCCTGTCATTGGAAACACACAGCAGGCACTCTCTGGTACTGGTTTAGATTGTAGAAATCCTGGCCTTTGGTCTGGTTTTCCCATCGTCCCAGTGCAGGATGCAAACTCTGCCGCTGGAGGACCACCTCTGCTCCATTTCAATTCTGGCCGGGATGTGGCTTCCTCCCTTCCTCTCCATCAAAAGTGGCATGGGCTCTGTCCCTGCAGTTAACTAAGGCAATTTGTTCTGACTTCCAAGGACACCTAACGGACTCCTAAGAGCTGACTCCTACTATGGGAGAAGATAACATCAGGCCTCCTTGTCCTCCCGCTATGCCTCCTGGAACATGGCACTGACCCTCTTTGTGTTCATTGGACACAGGACCAGGAAAGATCTGAGGCTGTCTTGACAGTCAGCATGGTGCAGGATTTGGACTCCAACCTCGAGAGCGGCACGCACAATGTGCCAGGGACTTGGGCTCAAATCCTGTGTCACTTACATCCTCCAAGGCTTGGTTTATTTTCTGTAAAATGAGGGACCTGCAAAAAATTTTCTGTGAGGGTCTTCTAAGTTCCTCCCCCTCACTTGCTCCTTTCCTTGGCCACTTTGTTTCCCTAATTTTCTGCAGACACAAAATAGAAGATGAAAATCTAAATGGAAAAAAAAAAGGATTGGGGGAAAGCTGTGTGTATAATGTCTGTGGTGCAAATAAATATACTGACTGAGTTTAATCTCATGGAGAAATTGAAACACCAGCAAGGGGATGACTATGAGGGTGGAGGCAGTTCGTGGGTTGTAATGCTTGATTTCTCCGTGCTCACTAGGAAATGACATCCGCTCCTCATTTTTGTCTCTAGCTGTCTCAGCAGTGCCTGGGCCTGGGCCTCAGAGAGCATGAAATCCGCAGCAGACCTACATCAGTGAGTGCTTCCAGTAACACTGTCCCGGTACCCATTCCCACCTCCCCGCACCCACGCCTTTGCCCCTACACTGAAGGGAGGCGTCACGCATTTAGAGTGGATGGGTACCAATATTTCACTTCAAACCTGCACTAAACAGATAAGCTACACCATAACACTCATCTCCCCAGAAATGTATTCGGACAGTAGATGGAAACCCAAGACAATGATGTGCATCCTTATGTTCTATTTCCAGAAAACTTGGCAAAGCAATTGAGTTGGAAGCAATAAAGCCAACGAACCAAGTTCTGAGTATGCAAGAGAAGAAGAGAAAATCCGTGAGTCAAAGCTTCTTCGTCTCTTAAAAACAAGATGTCTAGGGCTGGGTATAACTCAGTGGCAAAAACAAAACAACCCAAAAACCACTTGCATAAGCATGCTCAAGGCCCTAGGTTCAAACCCCAGCATAATAAAATGTTCCTAACAAACGAAAGGAAGAGGAGGTGAGGAAGAGGAAGGTGAAGCTGTGTGTTCTAGGCTAGCAACTTTCACATATGGTATTAAATGAAAAAGCAAGCTGAAAGAAATCAAATAATAGAATCTCAGCTGAAAGATCCTTCCCAAAATGTTAATAAGAATTACTCTGAGATGATAAAATTAGAGGTTATTTTCAAACTTTTGGTACTTTTTAAAAGGTCTTTTCAATTTTGTTAACTTTATCACTGAGCTACACCCCAGTCCCATAAGCACAATTTGTTTCAAAAGATGCTTTTCTACTTACCAATGTGAGATTACTTCTAAGTAATAGCTTTAACTCTTGAATATTCTTAAGACTAAAGGGCCGCATCAGGCATGCCTCTCCAGAGCAGCTGGTCATCATTAGAATGTCTTCTGCTCTGGGCATGCATGCACCTTTCCTTCCAGGACAGTTTCATTGTGTGTCCTCCCTCCTCAGTCTACCACAGTGTGTAGCCGCTTTAGACAATGCTTCCAGGCAGCATGCAGAGCTATTAATGAACACCACCGCAGTACTCGGATGGTGTGGGTTCAGGGCCAATACAGGGAAGAAGTGCTCAAGTCTTAGCAGGCAGTCCTTCCAAAAGGAAAAAATAGTCACCAGAGGAGTTTTTCAGGTGGGTTGTAAGTCACAAGAACTAAGGGAATTGGGAAAACTCAGATGGAAGAGGACTGGGAATAAATGAAACATAAATGCGTTAAGTGGAGTCGGGAAGTAGAGTTGGTGTTTGTATATATACGCATGTGTTCCACCAGAATGAATGGCCTATCTAGAGCTAAGGTAGTAGACAGAAAGTTACAAAAATTACTTAAAAGAAATATAATCATCTGCTTTTGCCAGCAACTTTAGTAAAACTCAAAGCAAACCTATATTTCATTTATTATAAAATATTTTACATACCATATAGTAATATGATAATTACATTTCATACTATAAGTTAATCAGCATTATGACAATTTATTGCAACACATTTGGTAGTTGATGTCTTGATCCTCCAGTCATTTGTCTCTATTATCTCCTGTTTGGGGGGGAGGAAGGGAGAGAGAGAGAGAGAGAGAGAGAGAGAGAGAGAGAGAGAGAGAGAGAGAGACTGGGCCTAGCTTGGGCTTTTAGGCCACACCTCCTAATCCTACTCAAACATTCCACCAACCAGGGACTAGACATTCAAATCTATGAGCCTCTGGAAGTCATTCTCATTCAAACCACCACAGGCTCAGCTCCATATACCAGGGCTCCACTCTCATGGTCCATCCACTTGCCAGAGTCCCACCTCTAAATGCTATGATGCTGCAGAAATAGGTTTTAACCTCTGAGTTTTGGTATTCATAGATATTTGATTAATAACATTGACTAAGCCAGAAAGCAACATTTTTTTTCTTTCTGTTTTTTTTTCTTTTTGATAGCTTGATAATGAAGTTGAAAAGACAGCAAATCTTGTTATTAACAACTGGAATCAGCAAATCAAGGCAAGTATACACAAACAGCATTTACATAAACAGTTTTCAGGATGGGACTTTTTGCTGTTGTGCACACATATTGGTGTGTCCTAATGCTTTTCTACACACCAATTGACCAGGAAATAACTCACCTGAGTTATCATATAGACGCATCATTCAACTAATCCAAAGCAGAAGATGACTCAAAATACGGTTACTGTTTCTGGTTAATATTTATGTGCCAAGAGCTGTGCGTTTGCATATTCAATCATCTCACCAACCAAGGTGATACGGGACTTTGGAATGTCAAGGTTATTTCCAAGGTTTTAAATCTGGTTAATGGTTAAACCAAGAAGTCTTAGAAGTTCTTGGACTCCAGAGTCACTGCTCTTTCCCATCATACTATATTGGCTGTCTCTCTGTGAAGTTTGAAATTTAGGGGAAGTAACAAACGCCATTTTAGTTTTTCATTGGTATAGGGTGTTAGTGATCTTTACCCTTGCTATGGAGAGGGCATTGTAAGGAGTGTGGTGATGTCAAAGGGAACACGTGTGTTGATTCTACAAGTGTACATGGTCTACCTCCTGTACACACTACACTAAGGCCTGCCCCTGGTTTTCAGTTACTTCAAAAGTTAGTTCAATAACAAATGCAGGAAACAGCACATGAATCCTTCTAGATAAATTTTGATTTGATGTGAGAAGCTAGAGAATTCCATTATTGGTTTTTAAGCTGCAGAAACAGCCGATGAGGTCCATCTGTACAGAAGATTATTCTAGAATAATCCTGTGTAGGAGGAGCTGCTTTGAGTAAGAAGGATGAGAGGCTGAGGAATCTGCTAAGAAAACCCGATCATGTCCTTGAAGAAGAGGTGCACTCCAAGAGCTGAACTCTTTCTTTTCATCTCCCAAAGGTTAATAGCCCAACAGAACCTTTGCAAGTAAACAGCCACCTATACCAAATAACCAGAGACGCCCTTGGAAGCAGCTGGCCTCAGACTTGCTTCTGAAGCTTCCGCTGAAATCAAAGACTCCAGAGACCAGGATGAGAGCTGTTCTAGGCAGACAATTCCTACCCTTGTGGCAGATGTACCGATAAAAAGAGACTCATGAGAGTCACATTGAGAACATATCTCAGAGTCTAAAAAAGCATCCAAACACTTGTTGTTAATTTTGCTCTTGATTTTCTGAGTTTTTTTAAAGAGGTTTGTTTTGAAAAAACAATTATCTGTCAACACTGAGTTCTCACAGGAAAGTCAATACAATGGATCAAAAGCTAGAGACAATGTTCTATAGCTGTTGGCTTCAAAGAACAAAAAGCACCTCCTATTATTCCCCAGTTTCTGATAAGCCGTTTTTCTAAATAATACGATTTTATTGTTTTATGAAGAATGACAAAGTCATTATAGATCACATGGAATTCTTGAGCTGCAATCATTTCCTCCCTCATTTCAATGCAGGAAGGGGCTCCACGTGTCAGTTGTGAAGCGCATGTCTGCTTCAGAGACAAAATTGCAAATTCTGAAGGACCGAGTACTCTTGACTCACACTCATTTATCATCAGGCATGTGACTAGGATCCTGAAGGGGCTGTGAGCAGCTTGTTCCTTGAGCTCCCTTGGGTAGCAGCAGCTTCACAAGTTTCAAGGAAGGCAGTCAGCTTCGCCGCTGATTCCCGAGGACAGGGAGTCCTGGACTTTTCCCCAATATGGTTTCATTTTATAGTCTGAACTCTTAGTCTGGGCTTGGTGGTAGAAGCCTGCAGTTCCAGCGCTCAGGAGGCCAAGGCCCCAGAGGAGTGTGAGTTCAAGGCAAGTTAGCAAATGTCTAACTCTCTTGCATATGATACCCACGATCATGACCAAATACACAGTGGTTCCTATCAGAGCATTTGCTGCTGTAGTACCTGGGGCATATTTTGAGATGAAGGATGGGGACAAAGAAGTAAAAAACTCACAATTATTCACAAACAGACCTCATTGCAAAATGGAAGAGCTTTTCTCTAAAGAGCAGTTTCTGCTTCCTTTTTTCTTTTTCCCTTCTCTTGCTTGTATGTTTCTGTCTCTAGGCTAAGAAAAAATTAATGATGAGTACCAAGAAGCACGAAGCACTTTTCCACCTCATAGAAAGCTCCAAGCAATCCGTGACCCAGAAGGAGAAGCAGAAGGTGAGCCATCACGGTAGCAGGTGCACACTACTTAGAGATATGGCTTCCTGCCCTCCGCAGGAATACAGAGAGCTGGCTGGCCCCTCCCTCCATAGGGATCTGTAGGTTGACCAAGCATGAAGAGGGACTTCAAAGTTGCCTGTGGTCACATAAGATTATCTAGCCCAACTCTTGTAGTAGTATGTGTTCCGTATTGGAAACTAAACCAGGTTGGGGATTTAGCTCAGTGGTAGAGCGCTTGCCTAGCAAGCACAAGGCCATGGGTTCAGTCCTCAACTCCAAGAAAAAAAAAAAAAGGAAACTAAACCATCCCACACTTTCTCTAACATGAAGTCTCCCCAAGGAAAGCAGCCAGCACCATTACAGTCCCCAAGATCCTTAGAAGGGAAAAGAAAATTGCCATTGCAAGTGACTCTATCATTTCATCTGAAGAAATTGTTAGGTGAGTAACTTAGATTCATTGTTAGCGAGAACTGGAAGGTTCTTATTTCTTCACATATCAGTCTTCACAGTTCAAAATGATCAGAACACATGTTGAATAATGAGCAGCCATGGAGGAAGCTAATTCATAATATGTGGAGATTCTCAGGACCAGGACATGTGCAAGCCTTCCCAGGCCTCATTAGAAGCTGTTATGCCTTGGTGTCGAGCAAGAGCAACCACAGAAAAGCTGGGGCAGCTGAGGGGGCATTTCCTTTCCTTCATTAGCAGCTTCCCTGGGAGGTGGAAGTCGCCAGTGCCCTCCACCCACCTTCCTACAGTGGGCCTGTAACCGTGACCTTTGCCTCTGATGACATCACCAATACCTCCCGTAGTCACTGGTTAAACTAGCGTCTGTTTTCTGTTGGTTTCTTTTGTTTTTGTTTTAAGTTCTAGAACTGAACCCCAGACCTGGCTTCCATTTCTCATGCACGTGGAAGTGCCTTATCACCAGAGTGCCCTCTGCACTGCTCAGCGGTTCTTCCTGTTTTCCTGCTTAGCAATCCCAGGTCTCACCAGAAGGTAGTCTAGACCCCCATCCTCTTCCCACGTCCATCCTTCCCACCCACTCGCAGAGGACTGCCATGTTTCTTACCTCACTACTCACCTTTATCTGCAAGGGAGAGCCCAATTCATCTTGTGTTCTGAGACTATGTCACCCTGCCCCTCAGACCCTCTTCTGATGATGTCCCTTGTCCTGCCTTAGAAAGCCCCCTCCTGCCCCACAATGGTTCTTCTGAATTCCCAAGTCCATCTTGGTCTGTTTAAGATGCTATGAGACGTTACAATAGCCTGGGAAGGTTGAACAGCAGAATATATTCCTCGTAGCCTTTAAAACAAAAACCTAAATAATGACTTTTAACTAACCCACAAATAAAAATGTCACACAGTTTAAGGAAGCCACCCAAACACTTGCCCAGTGCGTACATCTTACTGAACTTCTATATAGTCAGAGTGGTCAGAGTTCTAGAATCCTAGAGCTCAGGAGCCAGCATGGCCCAGATTCTGATGAGGGCCAAGACTTCAGTCATCTCTTCACAGCCTCATAAGGCAAAGAGAGAGCTCTGGTTTCATTTCATAAGGTTGTTGATCTCATTCATGAACACTCCATTCTTGAGACCCTTCCCAAAGACTCCCATTTCTAATGCAATGATGTAGAGAAGTTAGAATTCAACATACAAATTTGAGGGCACGCATCCACTTACTCCAATGCACCTCCTACCTTGGGAGAGCAGGAAGAGTCAGAGGCTTCATGGTCCTATCCATTCAACTGTATCGTTCTCTCTCCTGGACTAAGATCTATTTGAAGGGTTTCCACTTCCCTGTTCATTCTTCAAGCTACCCCGCACACTTCTTAGAACTGTTGTACACCATTTATCTCCCCTTCTAAAGACAGTCTCTTTGTTTAACTTTATCAGTATCCCATTCTTGGTCCCTTTACTTCCCTGGACATTTTACCTTTGGCTCCTTTATGGATGTCATTTTTTCCACCTGGCCCTTATGTATTGCTGTACCTGAGGATTTCTCCCCAGAGCCTCTCTATTTAATTCCTTGTTGTGTTTCCAATGTCCAACAAAAGATTCTCAATATCAAGCACTCAATAAATAATAGGTTCTCAATGTATATACTCCCAAAGCTTCAACTCTCCTTTCCACACTGACAGTGCCTGCATTTATATATCTAGCCATATCTGCCCCTAAACTGTCTCCTGGCACCTCTAAAAATCATCTCTTTCTACCTAAGATAAGTCTTTTCCCCTATATTTTCCAGGTCTCTGGATATCATTAGCTAGCATACCCTTCCAATTCTAACCCTTAAACCAATTGCTTCTTGAACTTGTTGGCATGTACACATCTCCCTGTCACTATTCACCCTGGCCATGACTGTCATTTGCCTGAATGATGGAACTAGCAAGTGGGCTGGCTCTGCCTGTGGTGTTGGCTCTTACTGTCACTCACATTCAGGGTGACTTTCCTGAAACTACTGTCATCTACATTCATTCTCTGCTGAAAAGTCTTCGAAGGCTTTCTAGTGCCTTCAGAATACGGGTTCCACTCTGTTCTGTGACCCGGTAAGACCTTCCCTGACTTCACCTTGTATCCTGCTCCACCATCGTCTCGGGCTGTTCTTCCTATGTCCTCTGGGCTCATCATTTCTTTCCCGTATCAGGGCACTGGATCGTTATCAGGTTAAAATTCACAAGCTCAAGTTTCTACGGATCCTGTGGCTCATTACACCTGAAATACGAAACTGAAAGTGCCTTGTATAGGTCATACATCACAGAACAGCAGTGTATTGACTGGAATAATAAAGTGAATAGTATTAATATTCAGCATCTTGAATGAATGTTCCCTATTATTATAACATTAGTCAAAATGTCCTTAAACATAAAGAGGGTCATTCATAAAATAACCAAAAAAAAAAGCCTCTATCTCTGTCCTTGAAACTACTAACATCAGGAGGGTTCTCCATGTCCTTCAAGTGTAGCTGGAGGACCAAATGCATAAGAGTCATCTGAGGACCTACTACAAACTCATTACAGAGCTAGCTAATGACTGAATATCTCTACTGGGGGCCCTAGAAGTTGCTACTTTACAAATACCAGTTCATACCTAAGAATATTAAAGCTGAGAATCACTTGTGCAATCCAAATCCTCATTTCTCAGAAATGGAATTGCTTGTCTGGACACTTTCATTAGCCATTTAAGTTATTGTGGTCCAGGGAGTTTTGATTTCCCAGAGACTTAGCAATCAGAATAGCAATGTCATGGATGGGACTGTGTAGCTAGAGTTTTCCTGCCTGGCCCACAGTCAGGGCAAATCTCTCTCACCTGCCAGTCCCACAGCCCCTCAGACCCAATCAAGTAAACACAGAGACTTATATTGGTTACAAACTGTATGGCCATGGCAGGCTTCTTGCTAACTATTCTTACAGCTTAAATTAATCCATTTCCATTAATCTATACCTTGCCACATGGCTCATGGCTTACCGGCATCTTTACATGCTGCTTGTCATCGTGGCGGCTGGCAGTGTCTCTCTGACTCAGCCTTCCACTTCCCAGCTTTATTCTCCTCCTTGTCCCACCTATACTTCCTGCCTAGCCAATGGCCAATCAGTGTTTTATTTATTGACTAATCAGGAACACATTTGCCATACAGAACATCCCACAGCAGGACTGTTTATGAGGGACAGATCCTTGGAGAGCAAAATGAAAGGAAACCATGTGTCTGCCTGTCTTTAACTTGAAGCTAACATGGGCGTGAATCTTAGGCTTAGTGTTATAGTCAGTGTCGGGTACATGGTGTGATATGTAGCTCACATATATTACCTCACTGAATCCTCCCAACAGCTCAGTGAAGTGGGAGCAGTCATCCCCATCAGAGAGGTAAAACAATCCTGTACCTGAGGAAAGTGAAGTAACTTCTCCTGCTGCAGGAGACACTTGATCCAGGATGCCTCATTCCAAAACTGTACCTCTAGCTTTACGATGACAGTTTGGCACCCTACCACAGAAACAGGTTTAAAAATCATATGAATTAACAAGTCTCTACTTGTCCTGGGAAGGAATGGAGAAACCTACAGATTGTGCCAGTAGATTGCTGTTGAGATCCCAGACCTGCATTGTAAATTGTCGGTTTCGGTCATTTGGCCTTCTTGATGTGAAGGGTGTTGACAAGTCACTTCATGTTTGAGAAAAGATTTCTTCAAGCACAGAACTGGGGGTATATTGAGAGGACATTCAATGCCCATTAATAGTTTTTTAAAAAAAAAATCTAGGTTTTGTCTTCTGCAGTAGCCATTACTTATAAAGAGCTGTAAAGTGAGAAACATTGGGCCATGTACGATTCATGAAATGACAAGAACCCTCTTGTAAATGTGTCGACGACTGTGTGACACTGATATTTTACTTTAGCTCCTCAACAAACTGAAAAAATCAACTGAAAAATTGGAAAAGGAAGATGAAAATTATTACCAAAAAAACATGGCAGGCTATTCTACTAGACTGAAGTGGGAAAACACCCTGGAAAACTGCTACAAGGTAAGTTGGATGTTCATGGTCTTCTTCTTCCGATGGGTTTTGTGTAACCTCGGAAGTGAAGGTTGGATCTACAGTCACGAGACCTGATGTCTTTCTTAGCTATGCTACTCACTTGTAGTATGGAGCCAGACAGACCACGTTCCCTCTCGTTGTCTCCATTTCTCCATGAACATGGTCCCCAGTGAAAGTTCATGGGCATCATTAGCCAGAGTTTCTGCCCCTAATTCTCAGTGGGGACTACGCTAACATCAAAAAGTTCTATCCCAGTAATGTAAATTAAGACTTAGGGACTGAAGATTCAGAAAGGAGTGTTAGCTGACTTAAACAGTGATCATGTGTGGAGTTTTCTGCACTGGACGATTTTGTTGGACAAGCAATATATAACAATAAATAACTCAAAACCTTAAAAGTGGTTGTTAGTAACACAGACACACAAAGAATGATTTCTGGGGGCTGGAGAGATGACTCTGTGGTTAAGAGTACTAGCTGCTCCTCCAAAAGATCCTGGTTCAGTGCTCAGCACCTGCATGTCAGTTCACAATCATCTGTAATTCCAGGTCCAGTGGAACTAACACCTCTTCTCGTCTCTGCACTCACTGCATGTGTGTGGTTCACATACATATGTGCAGGCACCATACCCACACACATACAATTTTTAAAATCTTTGTAAAAGAATGAGTTATGTCAAAATGACAAAGATAGGCAAAGATGTGAATACACAGGTCACAAAGAGAAAAATCAAAATCACTACTAAACACATGAAAAGATAATCATGTGTCAAAATTAGGAAGTGATAATATCTAGTATTGGCAAGGATGTTAGAAAATAAGAATTCTTGAACCTTTTTAATGAGATACTTAACACTATCTTAGAAAACAGAAATGTGGGCTTTGTCCGTAATATGGAAGTTCCCTTGTAGGGGTACATCCCGAAGAAAGGTTTAACCTGTACTTTAATAGTGAGGCACAAGAATGTTTAATACAGGATAGTTTCTAATTAGATGGTGAGAAAACATTGCACTCAGTCTTCATACCCATCAATAGAACACTTTTAAAGTGTGCTCTAATTTATAAAGTAGGCCAATTTTCACCTATAAATAAGCCAAGCCTATATTTAAATTGGAATTAACCTCAAAATAATGGTATTATAGAAAACAAATCATTTATACATCCATGTAGAAAAATTTCAACTCATACCTAATGTATATTGAGTTGATATGTTTGTAAACAGATATGTAGTGTCCAGACCTGTGTTGAACCAGGGAAATGGAAGTCCTGTGGGCACACAATAAGACTGCAGTATACAGCCACTCAGCTTGTGAATGACTGACTCCTGATGACCAATACAGCCACTTCCCAGGGCTACAATCTACTTCAAATACGTATGAACAGCTTTGCTGATCTGTTAGCAAATCAACACAGACATTATCATCAGCCTAGTTAGGTTCCTATTGCTACAACAAAGCAGGATGGCTAAAAGCAACTTGAGGAGGAAAGGGTGTGTTTGGCTGACAGGTTACAGTCCATCATGGAGGACGCCCAGGCAGGAACCTGGAGGCAGGAACTCAAGCAGAGACCATGGAGGAGCTCTGCTCACTGTTTTTCTCTCTAGGACTTGCTCAGCTACCTTTCTTATACAGACCAGGACTACATCCACAAGGGTAAAACCACCTACAGTGGGCTGGACCTTCCCACTTTTATCATTAATCAAGAAAATGCCCCACAGGCTTGCCTCTAGGCCAGCTGGATGGGGGCATTTTCTCAATTAAGATTCCTTCTTCCAAAATGACCCTAGCTTATGGCGAGTTGACAAAACAAAACAAAAACAAAAAATAACCAGCATAATCATATGAAACAATTATCAACTCTGGTTGGTAAGAACTTGAATATTTATTTTTGTTTCATTTTTGTGTATGTGTTCTAAGGTGTTTTTTTTCTTTAATGTTTAGAACAGTTACATTTGAAAGAAGAAAAAGAAAACAAGTAACCTAGGGACTAACCTGTATCAAGTGTGTAGCATTCAGTGTTGAACTAAGTATGTTCATGTGCATTATATTTTATTTCACAACCTTATAAGGAAAATAATAATTTTATTCCCCATTGATATATAAGGAAAGTGAGGCTAAAGAGGCGAAGCTGCTTGCCCAACATAGTTTTGAGATTCAGTATGCTCTTACTCCAATAAGAACTGGGAGAGGGAAGGTTATAAGCAAGCAGGGACTGGAGGGCCGAATAGTCTTCTGAGTTCAGTCACTTTCAGGGAGGGGTAGATGCAGAGTTAGAGAAGAGATGGGAACTCCAACCAAAGAGGAAAGGAAATAACACAAGAGGAAGCCCTTCTTTCATCCAGTTATTGCTTTGATGATGATGATGTTGTTGTTGTTGTTGTTGTTGAGACAAGGTCTCACTCTGTAGCCCAGGCTGGCCTTCAACTCCTGGTGGTCCTCCCACACTAGCTTCTCAAGTACTGAGATTATAAGTGTGTACTTCTGTGTGGATAATTATATCAATGAACATAGGATCCTGGCACCTCCCTTGTTGATGCTGAGTGGATTCCAGATCTAGATGAGGAAGGATTTAAATACTAACCCTATCCATCTGAAGTCTTGGCTCTGACCTTTCCTCGGCTCCTAGGACTTCCGATGAAGCTATAGCTTTCCAGAAGGCCAGCTTCCAAGGACTGCTCTGATGACAGATGTCTAGGCCCCCTTCAAGGGCTACAAGAAAAACATGTATCCCCTCCGTCTTCCTCATCCTGTACCTGTGTCACAGCAGTAGATGACAGCAGCAGGTCTTCCTTGTCATAGCTGACGTCAGACTGGTCTTTGGTGGTGTGAGATATTACTGACACTGTTACTATCACAGGATTTTACTACCTCTAACTCCTTAATCTGTCCCCTTTTCTCCAGGAAAAAGCGTCCCATGCCCATAATCCTAGCTCTCAGGAGGCAGAAGCAGGATGATTATCTCAAGTTTGAGGCCGGTTTGGTCTAGACAGCAAGTTCCAGGCCAGCCAGTATCATTTAGCAAGACCCCATCTCAGAAAAATTAGAGTCCTCCTCCCTCACTCCACTCTCTCTTTCAGTAGTTCATTATTTTATTTTAATCGCATCATTGTGGAAATTCTCTTCTTCCCTGGCAAAGTCCTGCTATGGTAACAAGGTATACATTCATTTACATTCCAAAGGAGCTTCTTTCAGCTTCAGCTTTTTGTTGTTTTTTCAGAATTGAAGTTGTGTACAGAATCGACTCAAAGGCACAATGCTCAGAAGAGTAGGATTCTCTTTTACCCCTCTTGAGTCCCAGCCCCACTGTGCTGTAGGCCATTGGGGTCTGCTCTTCCTCTCCTGTAGCTGTCAGAGCCCCTGTGATCCTAACTTCCTCTGAGCTGTCTTCCGTCTCCTGAGCACCAGTCCACACTCACTGGACCTGAATGGAGAGAGACTGTAGTGTTCTTCCCGCTGCACACCGACCCTCAATAACGATGTTCTCACTTGGCAGTACCTTAGCTCCTATGAACTTAGTCTATAGCCACAAGTCACTGGCTCACATGTTTCTGTACATTCTATGTCTTTATTTATAAATTCAAGCATGAAATGTTAAGTCCATGAAGACATGTAACACTGCACTGAACTGCACCAAGTCAGTGCTGATTATCTCTGAGTGGGAGAACAATGAATGGTTTTTAGAATGTATTTGTGTGTGTATGTGGCTTTAAGACAGTGTCCCAAAGCACCAGGGGGCCTGCTAAAATTCACCCAGACATGGTGACTCAGAACCTCTGCATGATGTTGGGAAGGGTCCGGGGGACTTCTAGGCTTACTGTAGTTTGAAGTTCTTGCTATGGAAACAGTATGATACATCTTCTGTTTGAAAGCTCTTCAAATGAAAATGCAACCCCTCCAAGATCCTCTATTAGTTCCCTGAGACCAGAGCAGCAGAAACTGGAGAGAATGAATGAAGAGCATGAATTATATGAGTCCAGACAGGCTCTAAATCTGCCATCCCTTGGTCACTCTCTGACCACACTTCCTTGGCCTGTGCTGTCGAACAGCTGGAGGCCCTCCAGAATGTCTTGTCTCTCTGTCAACCATTTTTACACAGAAAGAACAAGACACTAGAAAGCAATAACTCATTAAATGAGATATGGATTTTCCCCTTTGCACAGTGGAATTCATTTCTGCCTCTTCTCATGAGCAAACACAAATCATTTTAATGATTTCCCTGAAATGTAATTAAAGCTGTTAAACATCCCCATCTCTACAAAAGGACACCAGTTATTCTAATCTCAGATTGATGCTTGTGGTCCTGTGCTTATCGATGTAAAGAAACAGCTATTCCCCAGAATGCAGTGTGTCCAGAGCCTGACACATTCTCTGCCCCCACGCCCTTTGCCTGCATCGCTAAACTGGAACAACTGATTTCTGGGTTTTTAAAAGTAGGGTAAGGACTTTTTTTTTTCCTTTTAGAGGTGATCCAAACCAATGAACTGCATTTGTCTGACATGTTTGTTATGAGATGTTTTAATGCTTGCCTTCGAGGAATCAATCTGTTTGATAGGCTACTTTTCTGTGTCTTTAATTCTTTATCTGGAAAGCAAAAGGACAGTTGGTCACATTGGATTTGCTGATGCCTGTGATTTTAGAGAGTCTCAGGAGACACTGGCAGTTGCAGAGGCACTGGCTCCCGTGACTTACAAAAACGGTGCAGCCGTCTTATCAGCTGGCTGTGCGGGCGTGTAACTCCGGCCTTCCCATCAACGCGTCAGTATGGGGAGGGGAAATCTACATTTGTGTTGGCACAGATGTGTTCTGTTGTTGTTGATTGCTTGGTTGCTTCCATTTGAAGAAACATTAAAATGATCTTATACCAACAAACAAATAATAGCATACCATAATACACTGGGATATCTATCATTTAGCCTTAAAGACACATCTACAACATGGACGGACTTTAAAGACACAGATGATGATTCTTCCTGCTTGGGGCATACATTAGTTA